TGTCACCAGCCCTGTGTCACTGCCACCACCCCACTACCACCAGTCCTGTGCCACTGCCCCACTGCCACCAGCCCTGTGCCAGTGGCACCAGCCCTGTGCCACTGCCACTGCCCCACAGCCCCTGCCCCACTGCCCCTGTGTCACCAGCCCTGTGCCACTGCCACCACTCCACTACCACCAGCCCTGTGCCACTGCCACTGCCCCATTGCCCCTGTGCCACCAGCCCTGTCCTTGTGCCACCAGCCCTGTCACACTGCCCCTATGCCACCAGCCTTGTCCCATTGGCACCAGCCTGGTCCCTGAGCCACCATCCCTGTGCCACTGGCACTGCCCCACTGCCCCTGTGTCACCAGCCCTGCCCCACTGTCCCTGTGCCACCAGCCCTGTCCCTGTGCCACCAGCCCTGTCCCACTGGCACTGCCCCACTGCCCCTGTGCCACCAGCCCTGTCCCTGTGCCACCAGCCCTGTCCCACTGGCACTGCCCCACTACCCCTGTGCCACCAGCCCTGTCCCACTGTCCCTGTGCCACCACCAGCCCTGTCCCACCTGGTGCCAGCAGTTAAGGCCTGTTTAATGCAGAAGCAGCTTTAAGCTGGTGCTGAACATGCTGGATTAATGCCCAGCCCATGGAAAACTCCAGCATTGCTGCTGTAGGTGCCTCTGAACACCTTATCTGAGCATCTTGCCTGACGCAGAGAGTGGCTGTGTGATTCACCCCACCTGGAGCCACCACCCGAGAACAGGGCACGTCCAGGGCCATTCCACCCTCACAGGCATCTCATGGCTCCAGTCCTGCTGCCCTGGGGGCACCTTCACAGCCCAAAGCAGGAGCCCCAGGTGAGCAGGTCGATGCTGGCACCTGAAGCTGCACTCCTGGAGCTCAGCTCTGCTCGAGCATCGCTGTGCAGGGGCAGCACCAGGAGCAAAGCACTGGCACCATGGAATCCTGCAGGGGACTGGGTCAGGAGGGACCCCAAAGATCATCTCCTCCCAGCCCTGCCATGGCAGGGACATCTCCCACTGTCCCAGGTGCTCCAAACCCCAGTGTCCAACCTGGCCTTGGGCACTGCCAGGGATCCAGGGGCAGTTCCCTGCTTGGTTGAAAATACTGGGGTTGAGGAATCTTGGGCAGGAATTGTTCCCTGGCAGGGTGGGCAGGGGCTGGGATGGAATTGCCAGAGCAGCTGGGGCTGCCCCTGGATCCCTGGCAGTGCCCAAGGCCAGGCTGGACATTGGGAGCTCCTGGGACAGTGGGAGGTGTCCCTGCCATGGCAGGGCTGGGAATGGGTGGGATTTGGGGTCTCTCCAGCCCAGACTTTCTGGGATTCATGCCTGACTCCTCCATGCCTGAACTGGTGACTCTGGCCCCAGAGTGGCCTCACCTGCTCCCAGCCTGTTCCATGAGCACTGTGACAGATCAGAACAACCCCCACCCTGAGAAATATTCTCTGGTTGCCAATTCCCCTTGGTTGGGGGAATGTCCTTTGGAGCCCCAGCTCCTGAACTGGAGCTCAGCAATCCCTGAGGAGCTGCCTGTGCCCCAAACCTGCCCCAGGGTCACCCCCAGAGCCAGGGGTGACCTCCCTTCACCTGCCTGGAGCCTTGGGAATGCTCCCATCCTCGATGGAAAAGGATCCCGGGGCTGCAGCCCCATCCCAAGCCAAGCAGGCTGGCTTTATTCCATCCCCCTGCTGCCATTCCATACAAGATGTTCCTCCTTTGGCAGGAGATAAGGTGTTCAGGATTGCTCAGGATTTCTTATGTGCATAAGAAATTAATGTACAAATGGGTTAAAAAGATGCAGAGACAGGAAAGCTCAGGAATGGAGGAGGAGGAGAGCTCCTTTGGGAATGGAAGAACCAGCTCTGGAAACTCCCAGCTGGACACACAGGGCTCCTCTGGCAGAGCAACTCAGGACTGAAGGATCCTCAGGGATATATTTCCAGTGGAAGAAGGAATAAGAAGGAATAATTCTGGCTACTTGGCTGTTTCCACACCCCCAAGGTGAATCCTGGTCTTTCCCACTGCTCAGGTTTGCTGCTCCTTGTTCCCTACAGTGCCCATCCATTCCATAACTGGAATTTCACACCATCCACCTTCTACTGCAAGATGTTTTTTTCCAGCTCCAGAGCTGCAGTTCCAATTTGGGCACCTCACTGTGCAGGGTTCACAGGATCTGACTGCAGAGTAACTCACTGGGGTGATTGGTTTCTGCTGCCGGTTTCTTTCTCCCTTGAGTCAAGCTTTTTTCCCTAAGGATTCCCAGTTTTTTCCCTGGTGTTCCACCCCTCATTTCCCCACTCAGTACTTCCCACCTCTGTGCTCTCCCTCTCCAAGGCTCACCCTGCTCTGGAGCACAGGCTGGGGCCTCGCTTGCCAGCCCCAGGGTTTCCCCACATTCCCCATGAGCAGCCAGCATGGCAAGGCAAGGGAAGGGGAGGCAAGGCGAGGCGAGGCGAGGCGAGGCGAGGGGAGGGGAAGGGAAGGGAAGGGAAGGGAAGGGAAGGGAAGGGAAGGGAAG